CAAACTCTTTAAGGTTGTTCCCTTGCCACTTCCTCCTTTTTGTTTTTAATTGGATCTGAAAGTAACATTACCAGATTTAACAAATAAAAACACAGGACACCCTCAAAATAAGAATGCCCAAAACATAGTAAATACTTTTTTTAGTATAAGCATGTTCCACTCAATGCACACATGAGGCCTGTAGAAAGGCACATTCCTGGCCACAGAGCCTCGCCTTAAGCGAGGACCTCGGCCTGGTGACAGCGTAATCAGCTGCACTTACCTTACTCATAGTGGGTTCTCCCACAAATGGTACTATCGCCTTTGTCCTGTGCTTGGTCACCCAGAAGATGTCCAGGCAGCCAGCTTTACCTCCTCTAAGCTCATAATTCCATACCGGATGACCAATGAAAGAAAGGGAGACAGAATAAACAACAGCATGATGATGTCATGCCAACACTTGTTGGTAGACCTGCTGCTGGTAACACAGCTTGGCGTGTGTTCATTAGGCCTTGCTAGCTGCCAGGAGGCCTTGCAAATAAGGCATCATCGATACATCCACTAGGCCTACTTTTGAAACCTGCGTTGGCTTGCTAGCCATGCCCACCTCCATCCGAACAGGACAGGCCACCTTTGATGAGGGCGTGCTGCCAGCACAGCAGATGGCTGTGAACCTTGGCATGCCAGGTAGCCATTAGGTTCATCAGTGCGAGCAACAGGGGAAAGATTCTATCTGTAAATGTGAAACCAACAGCCCTTGCAGGGCAGCGGGCAGACGCCCCTCCTGGCCCAGGTGGCTGACCTTTCGTTCCCAGCTAGGGTCTGACAGAGCTGCAAGTGCAGGGCACAGCATGCAGGAATGACCTCGGGAAAGACTGAGACAGAGGGGAAGGGTCTGCGGAAATGGTCAAAAAGCTTCATTGCTACTTGGTTAGAGGACTAGGGGGCCAGGGCTGCTTGTGGGTGACAGATAGTGGTTTCACCAGGAGCTCACTTTCTATTTCTGTTGAGTCATCCCCTGTAGAGAGGCAGCAGCTTTGCCAAAGGACAGGCTGTGTTCTAGTTACTTACACTGGAGGTCACAGTTTCCTCCTCCAACCTGACTTCTTTGGTATTTACTGGTCCAGCAGATATAGGTAAAAGGGAAGCAGTTTTCTTTAAATTGATGGCAAAGATGGAAGAAGGCAGCAGAGAAAGGATAAAAATTTATTGGAAAGATTAGACACACATACATATATATCTCCAATTTGTTTTCTTCTAAGCTTTAATTTTTTTTCTGCTAAAAAATTCTTGATCGTTAGAAAAACTTTAATACGACTGTAAAGTACAAGAAAATGGGAGTTTAACCTATCTGCCTAAGAGAGAATTTCTGTTCATAATTTGTTGGATATTTGTGCAGATATTACCCCTCGAGAAACGAGTGTCTATTTTGAAGTCACAGTTTTCTTTTGATCAGACAATCTGGTTTTTTTTTTCCCTCTTTATTGAAACATTCTTATCAAGGTAGAAGTCAATAAAAATATCTGTATTTGGTGAGAAGTAACCTGTCGAGGTTGAATCTTTTGTTTGCTTCTAAATCAGTGGAATTGGTGGGCTCTTGTATTTCTAGGCTTAATGGTCACATTGTCAACTGCATGTCATTTGGTGTCAAATGATTTCTAATTTAGGAATTGATGTTGTGGTGTATGTGCTACTAAACTTTCTTTCCAAAATAATCTTCTCCGTTCCTTTCCCTGTGCTGGCTTCTTAAACCACTGATGTTCCCAGCTGACCTGCTGGACTGTGGCTTTTTTTTTTTAAAGATTTATTTATTTATGCATACAAAAGCTGGGGCACAGGCCAGAGGCAAGCTGGGTGAGAGGGTTCACCGGAGACAGAGTGGGTAACAGAACAGGCAGACTGACTGAAACACACTGCTGAGGGGAGCAGCAGGCGAGACAGGCGAGGTCTGCTGCGCCATGTGGGTAGCTTCCTGGCCAGCTGGGGATTGAACTTGTGCTGCAGAGGCTGCGAATTGCTTCATAGTGCAGTGCTTAACTCCTTGCACCACCAGGGAGGCCCTGGACTGTGGTTTTTGTGTGACCTCTGACTCATTTATTCAAATGTGTGCTGGTCTCAAGCACTTCACACTCTGCACAGCCTCATTTGAGCCCCAAATCATTAATTTTAATGCACCATCACCATCAGGTGATCCATGTCAGAAATCTGGTCTTCCTTGCTCTTTCTGTTCATAGTGTCCCTCCAATAAGTCACCAGGAACAGATATTTATTACCTAAGTATTTCTCAAATCATTATTTTCAAAGATATCTATATCGCCTAATTTCATTCCCTGCAAATAGGCAACTTTTTGCCTATTGCAAAAGGAGCCATCCTGCCAAATTGCAACTTCCGTAAAGATATTTTGCCACAGCTAATTGACAACACTGTCTTCCTACCCAGTTCTCTGGGACTGGCTTAGTCCAGGTTATAACTTTGAGATTCTGGAGAGATGGAGTGACTCTCTCCTCTGGGAAATTCTTCCAAAAAGCACTCCTTTAGCTGAGGTGGTTTTTTTTTTTTTTTTTGCAGTCTGTGCTCCCTGAAAAGTGCCTGCAGCTGGGATAAAAGGTCACATAAATTGTTAGGTCTGTTATCACAGACAATGAAGCAAGAAGTAACTTGTGGAAAATGAGTAAGGAAGACTTCCTGGAGAGGAAAGTTTTGTCTCTGCTTGAAGATGAGCCTAGAGAGGATATAGAGATAGATCTAGATTTCAACTCAGAAAATAGTTCTACATCTGTTCTAATGACAAAACAAATGTGTGATTGAGGACCCAGAGTTTTACTCCATCTAGTAAGGCCAGCCTAGGGATTTAACTACATGCCCGAATTTACCTTGAAGAAACCTTAAACAGTTGTAGCATGCTCTGCTTTGGCCACCCTATGTCCTGATATGTCATCATCTCCAAGAAAAACTATGATGCAAGGTACACCAAGATCAGTGAATCCAGGTTACTTTGTGGCTTGAGATTATTGTTTAGATACCAGTTCAGAGCTGGGTAAGTGCTACTAAGCACAATAACTGTAGGTTTGGAAGAGATATTGTGTAGTCACTCTTTCCAGCAATAATCAATTACCTGTACTAATTGTCTTCTAAGGCAACACCTTCTCTAAATAGCAGCAGGCAATGGTGGTAGGGTGAATCTTCATTCCATTTAGGTGCTTATATTTTCTTTTTCCTATCTGAAAAATAGGTCATGGAAAAGGACATTGGTGTTTCCAAAGAAATGGGCAGTGTGGGGCCTCCCCTGGTGGCGCAGCGGTTGAGCGCTGGGCTGTGAGGCTGCCCACAGCCTCTGCAGCGCCGGTTCATTCCCCGGCCAGCGGGGAGGGTCCCACAAATAAAAAAAAAAAAAGAAATGGGCAGTGTGCAGATACGTTATCATGAAAACAGATTTTTGAGTCCAGAATCCCAATTATCCAATTCGCATCATCCTATAAGATTCTACATTTAGTTCTGAGTGGTGTTTGCCTCTTTAAAATCACGTGACCTGGAATGGTGGTCCTGGGATGGGATGGGGCATGGAGAGTCTTGCTTGAGGAAATTAAAACTTCCTGTGTTCAGGCCGTCATCAGCTGACAATCCTGAAGATAGCAGACAACTGATTAGCCTCCTGTTTGCATTTTTTATACCCTTTGGATTACTAGAGCTTAACAGTATCTTCATGGGGGTGAGTGCCAGCCCACCTCTGGACATACTTATTATCACAGTCATCTGAAGCAGTGGGATGCAAAAGCTGAAAGATGGTGTTCCTTTTGAGGAAAAAGAATCAGTGTTTAGCACTCAAGTTGCTGCTATAATTTACAAACTAGGAGGCCATTAGTTTCTTTGGTATTTAGTTTTAAATGGTCACTGGACTGAGGCCAGATTGCAGCTTATTATCTTTGTGTTTGTTATTAAGTAGACATAGAGTTGGCGCTCTCTAAACTTTTGGAGAATGGGTGGTGGAAATCAGGCATGTTCTTACAAGGTGAAGCAGTGAAATGGGTTTACAGTCAGCACCAACATGGAAATCATTCATGAATAAGTCAACTTGATCACCTCTCTCATGAAGAAGATACAAGTTAGTTTGAAACAACTTCTCATTTAAAATTAAAAGGCTAACTGGGATAGAATCAAATTAGTTTAGGTTGACCCTATAACAAGTTTCCACCAAGGATCTCTCTGTGAGATCAGACAGGACAAAATACCTTGGGCTAGTCATGTTATAGAGCAACCCTGATATTAAACGGGTTCCTGGCTGTGGGTCCTCACCCGGCGCGCTTTAAAGGGACTTATGAATACTCTACTACAGACACACACAAAAGGGTTAATAAAAGGTTTATTTACAAGAGAAAAAGAAATAAGGAAAATGTACAACTCAGGGAGAAAATAGGGAAATAAAGTCTTTAATGCGTCCTACCCGATCCGACGACCTGGAAACCCAAAGTCACTCTCAGAGCTGGCCGGACGGACGCTGCGAGCTGGCAGGGAGCCAAAATGGGGGATCCCCAAAGCCCACGTGTCTGCCTTTTGTATACACCTGGCTGCTTAACCCCACCCTCAGGTCCCAGCCACCTTCCCTTTGGTGGTGATGGGATTTGGAGTTCCCAGTGTCTTTGGCTTTGACCTGGGGTGGGGGTGGAGTCCACAAAGCCTATATGGAATTTGCTTTGGGACATCCTTTTCCCCCTAACAGTCAGAGGTCCTTATATAGCGAGTGTTCCTATGGTGGCTTTAAAGAGGGAAGGGTGGAGGGGGGGGTTTGGAGACCATGAACTGTGCAAAGCCATCGTCAGTATTTGCAATCTTAAATCTTACAGTATCTTCTTAAAGGCAGAAATACAAATTTCACTGTTTTTTCTTCTCAATTGAATAGCTTTTCTATTTAATGGATTAATTTTTATTTATTAATCCCCTAAGTAAACACCTTATTATTCTCTTTTCTCCTCTCAGTAAGGTAAGTGCTGATATACAAAGAATTTCTTCTTGCTTTTGACAGAAAGTCGGAGGACTGACGAGTCCTAGCTTCAAAAGGAAGTAGAGATCAAGCTCTTGCATGGAGCAGGAAAACAGGAAAATTCCAATACATCTCCGAGTAATAGAGATGTGGGATGCAGCTTTCATTTCACATGTGGGCAGGTAAAGTGATTGCAGGGAAACAGCAAATTTGCCAGCGCTGCCGGAGTTAAGCAGAGCGAAGCCAGCTCATCCATCCTAGTGTATCTTTTCCTTTGTTCTTTCAGATCAAAACTGCCTTTTTCTTAAGCCGTGGTATTTCAGGTGGTAAAACGCAAAATGGATTTTTGAAAGCAAAATGTTTATTTGGTTTATCACTTGTTTTTGTCCTTGAACTTTCTTGCCAGATCAGAGGGTGAATACACACAAATCACCAGGTGGATTTTGGGCTTGGAAACTGTAGGAAAGACCGTTAGTTGTCCTTTTTTGTCACGATCAGTCATTGCAGTCAGTGCCCACTAGTATTTTATTAAAAGTGTAATTTCTAAGACAAGACTTTTCTTTAGTATTTGTCTCATAGTTCAAAGAATCCAGGGTAATAGTCAGTGACCCATTTGCAATAGGACTGTAAGAATGCCCCCTCCCCCCTTTTAAAGGCTTTGTTGTCAAGAGCCTGGTTATTTAACATACAATAACAATGCCACACCCATCACTGTTTTCCTGTAGAGCTGACGCACAGCAATGTTTATAGGAGAATGCACAGCCATTCTGGAGGCTCAATCTAAGAGGCGACTATAATGATGCTTTCTGGGGTTGCTTCTGGCTTGCTGCTTTAAAAATGTGTATGTATTTTTTATAAAGAAATGGTGTGTGCTAAAGTTTTTTCCTAAAGAATAACCAGCTATTTCCTTCTATCATGATTACAGAGAAAAACTGGAATGGGTTTGAGTTTTAGGCAGAAAAAATTTGGTTGGTGGCAATGAAGAAATCCCCAGTGAAGTTTATCACATCCTGGAATGAATGATGGTGCATGTGCATGTGTGTGTATACACATGCTTGTGCATTTGTGTGTGTGTGTATGCACACACTGGTGAATTTCCTTTAGAGAAAAAAATTTTAAGAAATCGCTAAATTCCTTTTCTGGGGTGGTGTAAACCCGATCTCGATAGTGGGTAAGGAGAGCATGGATGACTGTGCAGGCCACCTACATCTTCCTGAGACCATGTCTGTTCATTTCATTCCGGAAATCTGAGCCCCTCGGCGTCTGGTCCATCTGCCGGCTGTGGAGGGAGAGCCTGCTGGTCACCTCCGCTCCTCTCTGTGAGCAGTTTCTCATCCTGTGGACACCCACCCTCGCAGACAGCTCATCACTCTAGCGCTCCCCTGTCCCTGATATCTCAAGGGACGATGAGCTTCCTGTTGCCAGTGTGTTGCTGCTTAAAGATTTTCCAGGATTTAAGTGTAATCCCCAAGGTGGTGTTAAACACACAGTATTAAGTGCAGTACTGGAGGGAGGCAGTGGGATTTAAGTTTCCTCTGAGACGATCACTTTTATTAAAGGGGCTCTTTCACCCACAGAAAGAAAGAAGAGAGACAGTAAAGAAACAACTGTGGTTGAGTAAGAGTTACTGTGCAGTCTGCTGGCCAAGAATAGTTATAGAAATATTGGGAAATAATTCTGGGCACAAGGGGAGCGGGCCAAATAATTAAAAGTTCAGGTTTATGATGGCACATTTAATGTGGTCCTTTGGGGCCCCTTTTTGCTAGAACTCCTGGATTGCATTCTGTACCTGATATGTCATTTCAGACCATGGAAAAGCTAATGTACAGAGTAAAATATCCTGATATAGCAGCAGGTGTTATAACAAGGAATACTCTCTAGTGACACCCGTGACATGACGTGGGACAGGTGGAGTCTCCAGATGCCCAGCATGGGGGCACTAAGCCTCCATTGGTCCCCATGAAGCAGCTATATTCACCCACTCAATCCCCCACACCTCTTATTGGTTGGAGTGATTCTGGAGCTGGGATGAGAAAATAAATATAGAGACAGACAAAGTTAATATTCTTTGATATTGAAGGACAAAGATATGACTAGGCGTGACATTAGCTCATCAACAGACCCCGGAAAAGCAGGACTAGTTGCTGTGTTCTTTGAAACTGAGATGAAGTAAAAGTTTCGTCACATGAGAAGCGGTTAATAGTAAGAATTAAGTTCACATCTTAAAAGGCTAACATTGAAATGATTTTTTTAATTAAAAGGTTATTTTACCCAATACCTCTCTGTGTGGGTTTTACCACCAATAAGGAGCAATTGTCCAGACCCAGCTCAGTTCAGTTCTGACGCCGTCACCCTGGAGACAGCAACAGATTCCATAGGTTAAGGATCCAAAAAGATAAACCTCATCCACCTCCAATTCAGGTGCCAGTCAGGTGCCCACATTGTTACCTGTATATCTGACCTCTGGCAATACATCAGAGGTTTCTATGATGCCCTCCTTGGGTTCGATTTAATTTGCTAGAGCTGCTCTTAGAACCCAGGAAATCCATTTATTCACTAGATCGCTGGTTTATTATAAAGAAATATGTATAACTCAGAAACAGCCAGATGGAAGAGATCCACAGGACAAGCTGTGGGGAAAGAGCATGGAATGCCCATGCCCTCTCCCTGTGCACTGCTCTTCTGGAATTGACAAGAGCTCAGCTCTTTGAACGCTGTCCTTTTGGGTTTTCATGGTGGCCCCATTACACTAGCACAGTTCATTAGATCATGGATCATCCTCAACTGGTCCAACCTCCAGCCCCTCTCCTTCCGTGGGGTAAGAGGAAGCAAATGTAGTTACTGAAAATTTCAACCTCTGAGAACTGATAAATTTTTTTGCAAGCAGCCTCCACTCTTAGGTGTAGCCTAAAAGTCATCTCATTAACATAACAAAAGACTCCTTTGTTACTCTCATCACTTAGGAAATTCTAAGTTTTAGGAGCTCTGTGCCAGAAATGGGGGAGGGGGAAGACCAAGCATATATATTTCCCCCCCAGTTTTATTGGGATATAATTGACAAATATTGCTGTATAAGTTTAAGGTATACACCATAGTGGTTTTATAATGCTTATAAGTCACTTTATCACAGAGGTAAAGATAAATTTTTGGATGGCGGTTTCATGAAAGCTCGTTGAAGAACATGTTGATTTATTTTTTTAGAACATGTTGATTTTTATGCAGATTATTCATCAGTGAGCACTGAGGTCAGGGAGGATAGACTTGGTCTTTCTGAATTATAGTAGTCACCATAACTATGAAAATTTAATATCTCCCTTAAAACAGAATGGTTTTTTCTTTGTTTAGCAAAACTCATCCCAGTTTGCCTTTTGAAACTCTTTGACTCTCCTTGTTTCCTGCCTTATTGTCCCACTTTCTTCTTTTGCAGCAACCTTCTCAGGTACAAACCTCTATAAGGGCAGCAATACTGCAAGACTGTCAGTTTCACGCTGTGCTCTCTCCCTGGCTTGACTGTAGGGCGCCCCCTGCCGGCAGCTGTAAGTAGGTTCTTAAGAAAAAGCCAGTATTGACTACATTTTGAAAGGTCTAAAATTCTCTTTTAAGATTCAGTTGTTGTTTTTTTTTTTTTTTACAGCTATTTTGTTTCTAAATAGCACTTATCTTTTCCGTTAAATGAAATTATCACCTTGACATTTTGTCCTTATTCTGATTACCAAACAAATTAAACCTCCATGATTTATTTATTTAGCATTCCTGCACAATTCCTAACGGGACCTCAAGTTGTCCCTCTCTCCCCAGTATCCTTTCAAAATGCCCCTTAAAAATGCAGGTGAAGTTATGTCACTGCTTCTTTCAAACTTCAGGGGGGTCTCCATTATCAGTAAAGTCAGTCTTTTTAGCCCAGCACCCCTGGCCCCCCTGGGTCTCCCAGGCTTCACCCCTCACTTACCAACACATTTTCTGACATCACTGTTCTAAGTGCCCCAGGTCACCCAGGTCCCTTTCTGCTCTCTTGCCTTGATTCTTCCCTTATTGTGTGCCTGGTCTCTCCTCTTCCACCTTCCCTTATAACTGAGTGCAGATGTCATCTCAACTGTCCCCAGAGGGTGCTTACATATTTACCATTTACTTTTAAAATGCCCTTTGTGTCTCCGACAGACTAAGCCATTGGGATCTTGAAATCCTTAGCCCAGTGCCTGGCACCGAGCTCATGAACAACATATGGGCTGCTTGCTGTCCTTCGTCTCTGCCCCTGCCATACTGTCCAAAGGTGTGGGATCAGGGCTTCCAAATACTGCAAAGAAGAGGTTAAAAATATTAGGTTGAAAACAGACTGAATACCCTCCTATTTTATTTCCCCTCAAGAGTGAAGGTGAAACAGATGGGAATGTCTGTATTTAAAGTATGTTTCCATAAATTATTCTGCATAAAAGACACCTAGGAGCCCACTCAGTCATGAGAACTCAGGCCATTCAGCCTTTGTTTTCATTGATTTTTCAGTTATCTTGTCACAGCCGGGCACAAAATAATGCTAATTGGATGAGACTTATCTGAGGACACCTTATTAAGAGACTAAAAACGTATCTGGGAAGGTATAAAGGCATTGCAGAAGCCTTAGGAAAGGAGATAAAAAGTATTATATGTTTGTCAGAAGAAATAGTTGAACTAGTCCTTAAGCACCTGGTAAGAAAATATAGGGCACTATTTATCTTCCAAGATGGCACAATGTCTTAAATCTGCCTCCCACCATCAATATTCATGTAACCCTTTCAGTCAGTCGGTGTTGACTGCTGCAGGTGCCAAGCACACTGCCAGGGACTGGGCACAGCACCACTGTGGGGGTGGACGTGTGACATTTATATGATAGTCTAGTGAGTTCAGTGCCTCAGAGGGGACCTGCTCAGAGCTATAGTCGAGTGGATCTGAGAAGGCTGTGCAGGTCCATTTGACTTGTGCCTTAAAGGATGAGTAAGTGTTCACTGAGTCCCTCTGGAAGTCTTTTTCAGAAGGGTGTGACTGATGCAATGGCACAGGGGAAAGAAACCCATGGTGCTATTGAGCAACCGCATGAGGATTTACCTTGTTACCTCACTTTACAGATCATACACTTAGGGATCAGCTCCCTTTCATTGGGAAATTGCTTGGGTGGAGTTTGTGAAGCTAAGTGTAGCTACCCTCTACATCTTTGGAAGCAGCTGACCCGCTTTGCCCAGCTTCTCTTACAGGGATTTTCCACTCCTAATCCAGATTAGGACTTTTGGGGGCATTCTTGTAAGTGGAAAGACAGATAACACTTGGAACTCCACTACCATATGACCCAGCAATTCCACTCTTAGGGATCTACCCAAAGGGCACAAACACATTGATTCAAAAGACCATCTGTACCCCTATGTTTATTGTAGCACTATTTACAATAGGTAAAACCTGAAAACAACCCAAATGTCCAAAAAATAGATGACTGGATCAGGAAGATGTGGTATATATATATATATATATATATATATATATATATGCAATAGAATATTATTCAGCAATAAAAAAAGATAAACTCATGCCATTCGCAGCAATGTGGATGGAGCTAGGAGGAATTATGCTCAGTGAAATAAGTCAGAAGAAAAAAGAAAAATATCAGATGGTTTCACTTATAGCAGGAATATAGGGCAACCAAATAAGACATCAGTGTAAAAACAATAATAACAGTACAAAACACAACAAAGCCAAAAACAGACAATTATAAACCAGAGACATCCTGCAGGGGAGGAGGTGGGAGAGGGATCAGAGGGAGAGAGGGAGGAGCACAGGGACTGAGGTGAAGGTGCATGGGTGCAATGGCGAAGGAAACTCTATGGGGACTACACCTGATGGGTGGGGGAAGCATATATTGTTTAAAAATGAGCAATGATGTAAATAAAAAATTAAAAAATAAATATGTAAATAAAAAAATAAAAAATTAAAAAAATGTGGGGCTTCAAATTGTGGGGCTGATTTACTCCTGGCAGATCCTTTCTTTTTTTTTCTTTTTATAAATTTTATTTTTATATTCCCCATACAATTGCAATCCCCTTATTTTGACCCCAATCCCTCCCCTCCCCTCCCCCCCATAGAGTGTCTCTGGTTCATAGTTGTTTGTTGATTTTGATTTTCACTTTCTTATAGTTATTCATTTCCCTGGTCCCTTATTTAAGTTTTCTAGATTCCTGCTATGAGTGAGACCATCCGGTATTTTTCTTTTTCTTTCTGGCTTATTTCGCTGAGCATGATCCCTTCCAGCTCCATCCATGTTGCTGCAAACTGCATGTGTTTATCTTTTTTGAATGCTGAGTAATATTCCATAGTGTATATGTACCACATCTTCTTGATCCAGTCATCTATTTTTGGGCATTTGGGTTGTTTCCAAAGCTTAGCTATTGTAAATAGTGCCTGCCAGATCCTTTCTAATGCTCCTTAGCAAATGCAGTCACTGGCCATTTCCACGGGGGTGGCAAGGGAGGGGACACCACAGGTGAGGGGAAGGACGCTGCAGCTGTGACATGTGGCAGTTTGAGGTCCCTTCTGGCTCTGATCAAGGAGGCGCAATTGATTGCTTTAGTTCTGCAGATGTCCTCTTGTGGATCCACGGGGTTGGGGGGCGGTGGTGTTGGCCTGCAGAACTTTCGATTGGTGGTTGGGAATTTTCACTCTACTGTTCACTCGTAGTTTTGGCTATCTGCAGACCTTTTGAATAGGGTGAGTTGGCAAGAGAGAATTAGGATTTGTCACTGCAGTAGAGGATCAGGATTTTTTGCTGGAGGGGTCCAAACATTGCTAAGATAGAGAAATAAGAGAGAAAGGGGGCTGGACGCTAACAGGTTAATGTATTGTCTCATTGCTGTGCCTGGTTTTCTCTTTTCCCCTGGACACTGTTTTTCTGTGAACCGATCATGAGAAGCCGAAGGGGTCCTTTCTCTTCCTTTCACATTTGGATAAGACACATGTGTTATGACTGTGTGACATTGCTTCCTTTTATTAATATGCGTCCAGTAATCTGTCATCTGAATTAGTTTTGATTCATGGTTAAGCGGCCTAATACGTTTGATGAATTGCTCCTGACGTTTTCAGTGAGCCGGCTCCTCGTTGGGCTGGGCATGTGCTTGTTGGCTGAGACGATGACTTCTATACCCAGCTCATCCTGCAAATCTGGCCTAGTCCGTGAAGAGTGGGGAGTCCTGTTCTCAGCCCAGCAGGACCAGGGAGGACAGGGCTGCTACATTTGCTCTTGCAGGTCAGGGCCTGCGAACTCTAGGGGGAGCCACCCGCACACATGATGCAAACAGCACCCACTAGGGTTCACGAAAGAGCTTTTTTCTCTTAAAGTTCTCACACTCCCTTTCAAATCACATCTCCCCACATTTTTATTTTCTCTCGTCCATCTTCACCCATCCCCGAGGCCAGCTGAGGCTTTGCAGGCTTGTCCTGGCTGTCCACGTGATGCCCTGTTGTATTCGTCAGGACAGACTCAGTTATGCTGCGGTCTCCAGCACTTTCAGAATCTCCGAGGCTTAAATAAAAAGGTTTCTTTCCAGCTCAGTCTTCATGTGCCTTAAGAGGTTGGCAGTGGGCTCTGTTCCAAGTCTTCCCCAGAGGAGATATCCATTATTCCTAGAGGAAAAAGGACGGTGAGTCACACGGTGACTTTTAGAACTTCCCTTTCCATTTCTCTAGTCAACGTTCACACAGCCGCACTAACTTGAAAGGAGGTGAGGATGTGTAATCTGGCCACATGCCCCCAATAGGGGAGACCCAGAACATTGGGGAATGGCCCTAATGACTTCCACAGGTGTGGTGAAAAGAACAGTGAGATCTTGACCTTGAGTTCTGTCAAATACAGGTTCAAGTCCTGGTTCTGCTTCTTGTTATATGTCTAATACTTTAAAAGCAAACCACATTAGTTTTCTGAGCCCTGCTTTCCTCTCTACAGTATTCAGACAATAATAGTGTCTTCTTATGGGTGGTGGTAAACAGCGCCACCAATGTGGTAGGATTCCGGCATTTCTTCTCACTTCTCTCCCCTGCCTGGCTCTCCACTCCCAGGCCGTAGAGAGGCAGTACTTTGTGCTACTCTATTGTACAAGGGGAGAAACAACCCCTGTCTTCCAGCCAGCCAAGAAAGCCCTGGTGACATCTGCCAAAGCTCATGAAAATAGCTATTAGGAAAGTAAACTGTGCTTAGAAAAATATTAATTGGACTTTAAGCTCATTAGGAATTAAAAACAGCAACAAAAATGTTCACCTTTAGCATAAGGGAAAAAAAATCCTTGAGAGCCACAGTCTCCCCTAAAATGCACGGCTGCTGACCCTCCGTCAACGCCCAGAGGATTCTCGCTGCCTGGCTACAGAGGTTCAGGACAACGCAGCAGATGTGAGTGACTTCGGGATACCTTTCATGCTTGGCAGGCGTCCCCATTTTATTTATGATATCAAAGCTACAATGCTGTGTTCGCCTCTGTGGAAGACATAAAAGAGATTCAGAAGTCATCCAAATCATCTTGTAATTAAT